AGGGCAGGAGACTTACATTTAAGTTGTACTTTTCCTTCCGCGGGACAAAGACTTGGATACAATCACCAGAATTATAAATAGTAATTATGGCAGCTCACAGCCAACTGCAATTCTAGTTCCGGGGGTCCTAGCACCCTCTTCTGGATGCTGTGGGCACCAAGCACACAAGCAGTGCACAAACATATGTGTGGGCAAAACACCCATACACATAAAATAGTTTTGTTAGTTTATAAAATGAACCACACACACACACACACACACACACACACGCATGCATACACACAGCACGGTATTCAGAATAGCCAGAAGAATACCCATTGGATGATACGAAACTCTTGGCACAGCTTGATCATCATAGTCCTTGAGAGGCTGAGGCAGAAAGATCACAGCAGTTCTGAGTCCAGCCTGGGCTACGAAGTGAAGTCCTTTCTCACAGAGGAAAGTGTGATATCTGTGCCATGAAGTGTTACTCAACAGGAAAAAGCAGCGAAATAGGGGCACATGCAGTGACCCACGTGATCCTCAGTAACACCGTGCTAAGTGGGAGGACCGGACACAAAGGTCACAGATGATGTAACTGTGTTTATGAGCTGCATCCAGAACAGAAACACCCACAACGGCTTCAAGCGATTGGTGATTGCCATGGATGGGGAGCAGAGAAAAGGAGACAGGGACTTCATAATGGGTCTGTTTGGGGTGATGAAAAGGTTTGGGAATGCAGAGGCTGTAGCTGGCTAACACAGGGAACAAACTAGATGCTGAGAACCTGCTTGAAAATGGTGCGTAGTTGTGTCTCTACAAAAAGACACATGATAAAAGAAATTTAACAATAAAATTCACCTTCACCTTAAGACCTGAAATTGTTCTGCTTTCATAAATAATGAATCCAACTTGCAAAGACTTCTTTACCACTTTGGCTATGATCTTACCAGTCATCAACATGTTATCATTTGTTGAAAAGATAATGAAGACCAAAACCTCTCCAAACAGACACAGATATTCATCTCAGCACTGACAAGGTCTCTCTGAACATTATAATAATTTCCTGCGATAAAAGGTGTCCCTAAAGACCTGAATTATGTACCATAGTTTTTTTTATTTGTTTTCTTTGGGTTTTGTTTTGTTTTTATATCAAGACAGGGTTTCTTTGTATAGCCTTGGCTGTCCTAGAATTCACTGTGTAGACCAGGCTGACCCTAGGCTCATCCACCTATTTCTGCCTCCCAAGTGCTGGGATTAAAGGCATATGCCACTACACCAGCTTCTGTGAAACTTTTTGAAAACTACATTTCCCAGACTTCCTTGCCACTAAGCTACTGGACACCTACTTTGACAATAAAACGCACTTTCAGGCTGGAGAGATGGCTCAGTGGTTAAGAGCACTACCTGCTCTTCCAAAGGTCCTGAGTTCAATTTCCAGCAACCACATGGTGGCTCACAACCATCTGTAATGAGGTCTGGTGCCCTCTTCTGGCCTGTAGACATATACACAGACAGAATATTGTATGTATAATAAATAAATAAATAAATGATTTTTTAAAAAAATAAATAAATAAAACGCACTTTGATAAAATTTTGTGGGCAGAAAGACAGGATACAGGTACCTGCTTTGTGGGTGTGGCTCATGGCAAAGATAACATATGGTTAATGGGTTAGGAGTTACCCTGGAAGTCTCTTGTTTTTGTTTTTCGAGACAGGGTTTCTCTGTAGTTTTGCAGTCTGTCCTGGAACTAGCTCTTGTAGACCAGGCTAGCCTCAAACTCACAAAGATCCATCCTCCCCCCCTCCACCCCCTGAAAGTTTATTAATTTAGAAATGGCTTCTCTGTTCAGTGCTCTGCTCGACAATAACAGCATTTTTATCGGAATGTTCTAATTATCCTAGAACCTCAGTGCTCAGGAAATCTACCCTTCTTGCTTGCCAGACAACAGATGTTCTTCCTCTTTGGGGATTGCCTTTCCCTCGGGCACAGAGCAGTGAGGCAGCCCACCCAGAGGAACCTTGCTGAGAGTAGGGAAGATGAGCTACAAGCCCACCTTACCTGGTTTAACCCGCAGTCTTAATCCTCACATTCGATATTATCTAGAAACTGAGAAGTGAAGTTAGCAAGGAAAGAGATGTGTGTGCCACAGAGTCAGAGGTAAGGAATGTTCTGGAACACAGAGACTAGCACCGCTACCAAAGTTCTCAGGAGAAGAAACCACCAGGGCCATTCCATAAAACGAGAGAAGATCGAAGTAAGAGAAAGGTCCTCTTTGTTCCCCCATGCTCCTAGAAGATGATACAATGTGTGTGGGTGGCGACAGCAAGTGAATGAGCTGTTTGGGACTGGTGGCCCCTGACCCAAGTCTGTGACTCTTGATCTTGGGTGGATTTGTATGTAACCCATTAAAGAAATCTTTAGAACTTGGAGTAGGTTGCCAGGGACAGTGGTTATGAGTGAGACAAACACAGGCAAGACATCACCTCAGTAGCCAGCGCAGGACTTGGATGCCAGTTTCAGTGCCCTGGGAAGCTGGGGGAGGGGGGAATTCTAAAACAGTTCTGTGTGCTTTGTGCTTTCTAGGAACACCGTGCTGTTTGAGGAGAATGATTGAGAGAGAGTGGGAGAGAAAGCAAAGAGCCTAGCCAAGAAGCTGGTCCAGGGGTCTTGGAAAGAAACGCTGTCTCGGGCACAAGCAGGGAAAGACTGGGCTCGTGGTAGAAGTGGGTGGGTTAAACATGTCCTCCGGAGAGGCTGGGGCTGTAGATTGGTTGGGAGAGAACTTACCTAGCACGCACCTAACCCTGGACTCTTCTCTCCAGCATCATATAAACCAGGCATGGTGGTACAAACCTAGCACATAGGCCAAAGCAGAAAGATCAGAAGTTCAAAGTCATTCTTGTCTACATAGAAGTTCAAGGCCAGTCAGGGCTACATGAAAATCTTTCTTAAATAAATAAATAATAAAGTTATCTTTTAGAGACAGACTCTTCATGTAAAAGATGAAAGAAGATAAAGTCTTTGTTTCTCTCGGTGGTTGACTTTTTGTTTGTTTGTTTTGTTTTGTTCTTTTTTGGTGCATTGTCCAGGAATGGAACCCAGGTAAACTGCTCGGATCTCACCGTGTTCTTATAAGAAATGAAATTTGATCTGTATATTTTCCTTCCTCAGAAAGTTAGATGACTAGATATCACAAACAGAATTCCAATCCAGAATTTCCAAAAGAATTGAATGCAGGAACTCAAATAAATGCCTGTGTAGCATTGGTTATAGATTATCGTTCGCAATACTCAAAAAATGGTAACAAGTCGATGTCTGTCACTTTGTGAGTGGATACATGCAATACTGTGTGCCCACACAATGGATTATTATTCTGTTTTTTAAAAGCTGTGATTCTGTGAAGACATTTAACACCTTTGAAATATACATGTCCTGGCTAGTTTTATGTCAACTTGACACAGCTAGAGTCATCTGAGGGGAGGGAGTCTTAATCAAGAAGATGCTGCCATAGGATCTGACGATAGAGCATTTTCTTAATAGTGATTGGTTGGAGAGGGCCCAGCCCACGGTGGGTGGTGCCATCCCTGGGCTGGTGGTCCTAGGTTCTGTAAAAAAGCAGGCTGAGCAAGCCATGGAGAGCAAGTCAGTAAGCAGCAGCATCCCTCCATGGCCTCTGCATCAGCTCCTGCCTCCAGGTTCCTGTCCTGTTTGAGCTCCTGTCCTGACTTCCTTCAGTGGTGTGGAAGAACAAGCCCAATAAACCCAGTCCTCACCAAGTTGCTCTTGGTCATGGTGTTTCACTGCAGCAATAGAAATTCTACGTCTTGCACAAGCAACAGGAAGTGATCTGAGACATTGGATGTGACTTCAGCATATATGATCCCTCAAATTTCACCTCCACAGTGGTACACTTCCTCCAGCACAGCCACACCCACTCCAACAAAACCACACCTCTTAACAGTGCCACTCCCTTTGAGGGGCATTTTCTTTCAAACCACTACACCCACCTTTGGTTCCTAGCGCTCTCTGCTTCCTGGTGTGCCTTAGGTGAACAATGTTATGGAACTGTTATGGTCTACCTGACATGGACTAAATCGTGTCCACTCAACCCCAGTTCACTTGCTGAAATCCTAAATCTGGAGCCCACACTGTGCTCTACTTGGAAGTAGGTTTATTGCCAACTTAATTAGTTAAATTAAAATGAAGTTATTAGGTTAAGCCCTACTCCAGTGACTGCCGTCCTTTTAGAAGAGGGAGACGTCGACAGAGGCTTACATGAGACCATCCCAAGGAGACAAAGGGGAAACAATTCCTTCATAAGATAAAGATCACCAAGTAAGGAGAGTGAGCCTACAGAAGCCAGGCAAGGTGTGTAGAACAGGCTGTCCCACACAGTCCCCAGAAGTACTGTCTCTGCTCACTCACACTTGATCTTGGACCCTTAGTCAAACAAACAGAACCATGTCTGTTGTGTAAATCACCCAATCTGTGGCCTTTGTTACAGCAGCCCCAGTGAACTAATTACACTCCCCACTGAAGATTTACCCTCCCCCACCTCCTCACCCATTGCTTTGCAAGAGTACTGGGCAGGTGGCCAGCAGTAAGGACTGCGTTAGAAGAAAAAGGACTTGAGCAAATGGAGCAAAAACAGGTCAAGACTAGCCTAAGAAGAGGCAGTATCTGCCAGTCAAAGAAATGACAGGGCTGGCAAACAGGGGGTGAGGGTCCCCATTGCTGTGGGCAAGATAAACACCCACTTACTGTTTAGTTGGAAAAGGCCAAGACCACAGAGGCTGCTCAAATGTCAAAGAGGTGGGGCTGGCAGGAAGCCAGCGCTCCCCAGGGCTCTGTCCCGATGGCAGACTTTGTGGCGGGACTTTTACCTGGGAGGTGTGTTGGGGGCTTCATGGAGACCCTAGGGTGCTCTGGTATACACCCTGAGTCCCAGCTCTTAAGGCTGCTGAAGGCGTTTCTCTTTGTGACGGTTGCTCATTAAACCAGCAGGTTTTGGTGACCTGCTAAGTTAAGTTCAAACCCTGTGCTGAACCTGCAGCGCCTGGCACTCTTCAGCCCAGCAGCTCAGCTCTGCCAAGAAACTGGGATCTCATTGTAGCTCTTGGAACCGCATTCTAAACTTGACCATCGCCTGGCGCAGCAGCTGGAATAGAAGCTCTTGGGGCTGTCGGAGAGAACCCGGGAGCTATGCTTGGCCTTTCCCTCCGGCTCCCTCCGACCTCCTCCCACCCCGCTTCCTCACTCTCTACTCTCACCTCATTCTCTCCACTCCTAACCCCTCACTCTTGCCTTCTCCCCCTACTCAGCCCCACCCCAAACCTTCCTCTTCAGTTGAGAACTAACCTTGGCTGCTTCTCATTCCTCCTCTTCCCACCTCCCCATTCTGCTCCCTTCAGTTTCTCCTTCCCTTTCTCCTTACTTTTCCAGCTTCTCTCCCCACTCCCTGTTCCCCTTCTCTCTTTCTTTCTCTCCTCCACCTACCCTTCCCCACCCCCTACCTTCCCTCTGCCTCAGCCCTCAGTGTTTGCTTTTCTCCCGGATACGGATGAAAGGGTTGGCCTGCCCGTGCCCTGCCCTATCCAACTTCTTGGAACTGGAGACCTGCTTAATGGCTGAGGGTTCCCGGACGCAGGCATCGGGTCAAGGGCCTCCTATCAACGTCCAGTTCCTCCGCGCCCAGTATGAAGGTCTGAAAAGACAGCAGAGAACCCAAGCCCACCTGATGGTATTTCCTAAAGGTAGGGCTGGGCAAATTCTGGAGGGAAGGGCCTTTCTGTAGTTGGAACAGGTGACTTAAAGTCCACAGTGGGCAGGACCGTGGCTGGGACAGTCTCCTGAAGAGGAAGAAAAGAGCCGCGGCTGACCCAGTCAGAACTGAACCAGGGAGGCTAGATCAGGGTGGCTCTGCCTAGTCTGTCCCTTAGCCAAAGAAACAGAGACTTCTGCCAGGTATTTGGCCAATGGCCAGTGTTCCTGGTCTCTGTGCCTATTTCTCCTAGTTCTGATCTGGCTAGACTGGTTAGGTGAGCCAGCTTGGCCCCCTGCTAGGCTAAGTGGAATGATGGAGGCTCAACCTCTTGATCCACATGCAAACCAGAAAGGTTTTGGAGAAGAAAGATGGCTGCTTCCATTGTTCTGGGAACTGGCTGGGTCAGAACTCAGGGATGGTGAGACAAGTTCTATAGTCCGCAGTGATAGGTATCACACGAAAGAATGGAGTGATTATGTACATGGCCTTGGAACAAAGCCAGAATTTAACGTTCCCATCCCCCTACAGACCAGATCAAACCAAAGATAATGCATGACGGAGAATGGAAAGATGGCTCAGTGGTTAAGAGCACATGTTGCTCTTGCAGAGGCCCTGGGGTCCATTAGTGCATCAACATGGTGGCTCACAACTATCTGTCACAACCGTCTGTTCCAGGGGATGTAAACGCCTGTTCCGCTCTCCAGAGGCACCAGGTGTGCATGTGGAGCACACACATGCAGGCAAAACACTTAAACACATCAAATAAAATTCATCTTTAAAGGGCTTTTTATAAAGAAAGGGAAAACATAGTGTGAAACTTCTGTGTTGCTGAATATTCTCTTTAACTTGAAGACTGAAGACAGAGCCTATTCTAAAGTATTTGTGTGCAGGGGCTGCAGCCGAAGGTTCCACTATCCGGCTAGGGGCTATGGGCATCTCCTCTCTCCCTCTGGACCCTCCCTTCCCTCTCTTCTTGTGTGTGTATGGTGTATGTGTGCATGATATGTGTGTGGTGTGTGTGTGTATGTATGTGGGGGGGTGCAAGTATCTGTGTCTGTATGGTGTGTGTGTATGTATGTGTGTGGTGTGTTTTGTGTATGTGAATGTGTGTATGTGTGTTTTCTCTTTCTCTTTGTCCTGAAGTAAAGAGGCCCTACTATGAATATCTGCCTGTCCGCCCGGCAGCCATCCCACTTCCAGGGCCCTCCCCAGGCAGATAAAAGAGGATTCTGTTTTTCCGTCCCTCCCCGTCTTTCCTTATCCTCTAATTCCTGCAGAGCATCTGAGTACCATGAAGGCTGGTGTGCCTGCCATGCTGAAAGCTAGTGCAATTCTAAGTGTGAGCAGATCACCGTCCTAAGTGTGAGCACATCATCCTCCTCCCTGAGGTCACATGTAAGGCTGCACCTGTTCGCAGAAACGGCTGCATCTGCTCTTCTACTTCTTCCAATTCCTTCCTTCCTCCTTCCTCCTTCCTTCCTTCCTTTCTTTTCTTTTTTCTTTTCCAGACAGGGTTTCTCTGTGTAGCTTTGGAGCCTGCCCTTGAACTCGCTCTGTAGACCAGGCTGGCCTCAAACTCACAGAGATCCGCCTGCCTCTGCCTCCTGAGTGCTGGGATTAAAGGCGTGCTCCGCCTTCACCAGGCTGTTCTTTGATTCTTTCGGATTTATTAAACTGGGGCTCAGAGGGGCGTCTTGATGACATTGTTACCCCAGTAGTACCATCTCTTCACCGTACTTTGTTAGCAATGAGACCGAGCCCATTCAGAGAAGAAACAGACACTTCTCAGAAGTGTTCATGGACTCTCTCCTGCTTCAGGTGATAAAATCATTATTAGAAGTGTAGGACACAGACCCCATAAGCTAAGAACAATATTCTCTTGTGATGTGTGTATGAATTCAAATGGGAGTATGCTAATCAGCTATTCATCGTGTGAAAAAACATCAGACAGAATAAACTAAAAGGAGGTCTGTTTTAATTCGTGGTTCTGGAGGTTTCATCCCAGGGCCACTTGGTCGTGTCGTTTTTAGATCTTTGTCAGCACAGTACACTATGATAGGAGCAGTGGTGGTGGGCAGTGCTCTCCTGGTGGTGGCCAGGAAACAAAAGGAGGAGAAAATATTGGTATCCTCATACCCTGAAGAGCATGCCCCTGTGATCCTACTTCACTTGAGCAGACACCTGGCAAAGCCTTCACAATCTCCTAATGACACCGTAAGCTGGGGACCGAGCCTATGACCTGGACTTTTGGTACATTAAAGATCAAAATCACAGCAATAAATGTGTGTGCCTGTTCCTGTGTATTTGTGTGTGTGGTGTGCATTTGTGTGGTGTGTGTGAATGTGGTGTTTTGTGTGTGTGTATGTGATTTTGTGTGTGTGGTGTTTTGTGTGTGTGTGCATATAAGTGTTTTTTTGTGTGTTTGTGTGGTCTGTATGTGGTGTTTTGTGTGTGTTTGTGTGGTGTGTGTATATGTGGTGTTTTGTGTGTGGTGTGTATGTATTTGTGTGTGTGTTTGTGTGGTGTGTGTGTGTGGTGTTTTGTGTGTGTGTGTGTGATTTTTTTTTTGTCCTTGTCATCCTTAAATACTAATCCTCACTTCTTCCCAGGTTCAAACACTCTCTCTCACTGAGGTTTTTACTTTCATTTATGCTTGCGTTTTCCCATAAAATTGGTTAGTAACTGAATTATTTTTATTGAAAAAAATGTTTTTCATATAATATATTCTGATCATGCCTTTTCCCTCCCTCAGCTCCTCCAAGGTCCTCCTATCCCCCCCCACACACATAATGCTAAGCCCTTTCTTTTTCTCTCTCTTTAAAAAACAACAAGAAAGGGCTGGAGAGATGGCTCAGAGGTTAAGAGCACTGACTGCTCTTCCTGAGGTCCCGAGTTCAATTCCCAGCAACCACATGGTGGCTCACAACCATCTATAATGAGATCTGGTACCGTCTTCGGGCCTGCAGACATATAGACAGACAGAACACTGTATATATAATAAATAAATAAATCTTTAAAAAAATAACAAGAAAATACACATACAAACACACAAAATCAGAAACCAGAATAAATAAACAAAAGACCAGAAAGACAAAAAAAAAATGCCCCCAAAAGTCCACATAATTACCACTGAGTTAGTTTTGTGTTGGCCATTTGCTCCTGGGCATGGGGCCTTCCCTGAAGTGTGGTTACTAGACCCAAAGATATTCCATTGGGGAAGACTAATTTTCCCTATGCAGGTGGGTTAGGAGTCAGAGCCCATATCTACCTCCTTCTCTCAGTGCTGGGACCCTCTCTGGCTTGACCCTGTGCAGGCCTGTGCGTGTGGCCACAGTCTCTGTGAGTTCACGTATGCTGCGTCTGGATGACGCTGTCTCCTGGGAGCCACCCATCTTCACTGGCTCTCACAGTCTTCCTGACTCTTCTTCCACTCAGCTCCCTAGTCTTTTTTTTTTTTAATATTTATTTATTATGTATACCATATTCTGTCTGTGTGTATGCCTGCAGGCCAGAAGAGGGCACCAGATATCATTACAGATGGTTGTGAGCCACCATGTGGTTGCTGGGAATTGAACTCAGGACCTTTGGAAGAGCAGGCAATGCTCTTAACCTCTGAGCCATCTCTCCAGCTCAGCTCCCTAGTCTTGAAAGGGCTCTATGAAGACATCCCATTTAAGAACAAGTGCCAAAATCTCTCACTATAGACTATAGACCCATCTATAAAGTTGTGAGTATATTCTCACTGCTATATTCATGGAACCTCAAATAAACAAGGCCTTGGATATAGTATTTGATAAATATTTGTTGAATATGAATAATTGTAATCATATGTTGGGGAAGAATGCATGTGTGTGAGAAAGAATACACACAGGTCGGGTCATGTATGTTTGCATGTGTGGACACACATGTGCAATGTTCTGCTATCTGACTCCCTTGGCATTCAAGATCCCCCTTCCTTTAATCTGAAACCTATGGGTTTCTCTCAAAGGAAGCTACCCAGAGACCTCCCAACGGTGACACTGCTGTGTCTTCTCTCCTTAGAAGGGAACATGCTTACGCCAGCTGAATCGATGACCAGTGCCGTTTGGATTAACAAGGAGAGAAAGAGTTCCCTGTCCCCAGATGAGACTGACTCTGAGGTTGAGGGGATGCTGGAGGATGTGGACAGGAGCTACCATCAGGCTCCCGAGACTCCATGGCACACCTACCTAGAGATGCATCGCTTGGTCCAAACTCTCCATCTGGAAACCAGCCACCAAGAGAACCCCAAGGGTTACCCTGTGGAGTCAGAACCAAGGCTGTCTCCAGAGGGAGACCCTAATGTGCTAGAAAACCATCAGAAGAGTCAGCCAGAAACTGAAATCGCAGAGGCGGCCCAGTGTCAAAGTCAGGAGGGCCGTGGCCCACTACAGGCAGCAGGCTCTGGTTTGCAAGCCGGGATCCAGTGTCTTTCTTCCGCAAAGAACCTACACAGGTCTGGAAGGCTGACTCATTACCCATTTCCCCAGAGGAAACTTCCCAGGATCTCCCAAGCTGCCCGGAAGCTGGGCTTATACGGCCCACCCTGAAGCTTTGCACTCAGCAGGACGTCTCATCCTTATGCCATCAGTCAGCCCCATCAAGGAATGGCCCAGCACAACCAGACAGAGCCTTGAACAATGAGCCACAATGGCACACCCCAGCTGTTGGAATCCCAAGAACTGAACTTCTGCACGGGAAATGGTCTTTCCCTTCAGCGGTCCGGAGACTGCCCACCCGACTGCTTATGTCAAGATGAGCGTGTTCTCTCATCCACGCGGCCCCATTTTAGTCGTATAGAAAAGCATCCCCAATCGTCCTAAATGGTTTCCCATGGCTGGGACCAGTAGAACATTTGTTCCCAGAAAGAAAGCAGGAACCTTAGTCAGAGGGATAGTTCTACAATGTCTGGGGGGTCGGTGGATATAGGAGATCTTTTTTTTTCCCAATATTTTCTGATTCTTTGTATATTCTGGGAAGATCTTTGAGAATTTAGAATCTTTTTTCCCCTGGCTGCTCTGTCTGGGGATTTAGAGACAATTCAGTTAGTAGCAGTGCTCACACTTTTTCATCGTAAGCCTCCCAGACTGTGGTCAGCCCTGGTGGCAGATCCTTCCCATCTACCGTCCTGTGCATTCAGGGAGTCCTTGGGGAAGGATGGTTCCTCTCACCCGTCACGGAGGTGGTATAGCCCAGCTTCATCACAAATCTGTTTCCTGTCAGCCTTCTCTTCTACCCCCCCCCCCCATTCTTCCTACCCTTGTGTTCTCTTCTGTCTGTTAACTTCATATTAAAATCCACCAACCCCTAGCCAGGTGCGATGGTTAATGTGTGCAGTTCCAGGAGGTGGAGGCGGAGTCAAGATGATGAGGAGTCATGCCTGTGTTATAGGAAATCCTCCAACCAGAGAGCAAAGAAAACAAAATAACTGCCCTTGTGGAAAACGTGTAGTAATCAGAGCCAAAGGGAGGAATGCAAAGATCCTCCCGCTTGGAAGACAGGAATCTCCACAAATCGTATCCTTCGTAGCCTATTGACTCACTCAGGTCCCTCCAGACAGGCCTAGCATCCTTCGGAATAAGGAGTCTATTAGAAGAGCTATTAACCCAAATGTCATGGGCAGACAGGCAGGCAGGCAGGCAGGCAGACAGACAGTAAAGGCAGGGCTCTGAAGGGAGTGCAGGCTCACAAGTTAGGGCTGATATCTTACAGGTCTCAGAGGAAGGGGCAGAGTTTACATGGTCAGTCTGTCTCTGAGATTTGCGGGTTGTGGAGCTTGGGGGTATTCTGGAGTAGGAATGTGGGATTCTGATGATTTGGGGGGCTGGAAGGGAAGGACACATCTAATTGAGGTGCACCCATTACACAGGCGTGGGATGTGTCACCATGGGTAGCCCACTGGTGCCCCAGAAACTGACAACCTAGTCCCAAAACTTCCCAGGTGAGAGGAGAATGACAGCTGTCATTTCCTGGAACCCAGGCACCTGGGGAGATGGTTTACAGACTCATGGGCTCTGGGTGGGGCGTCTGTCTCCCAGTAGCATCAGGAACCGCAGAGCCCACCGTGGAGGTAAGGGAGCTGCAGGTGGGCATAGCTTGGGCAGTGCCTGGTCTGACATGTGTGTTTGCTGGCGTCTCACACAGGTTCTCAGCCTGAGAAGGGCTTGTCAGTGATTGCCAGACTTTGAGGGGAAAAGCTGCAGTGGGCAAGGGTGGCCTGATCAGCCCCACCCCAGAGTCTGGCTCCCTGGTATCAAATATGCGCTTTTAAACAAAGCAAAGTCTGAGTCCTTGTGGGGGGGGGAGCGGGGGTGTGGAGGGGGGAATTATTTTTCCTGGTCAATGTTTAGTGTTGGCACCTAAGGCAACTCACCCCGTCCCGTATCAGATTCTCTCTCTATGCACATGCTCCCGGGGCCCCTGAAATCCATTTCATTCTAGGGAGTCACTGTTATTCCTTTGGTGAACAATAAATAAGAGACTGTTGTTGTTGTTTTAATACTCTAATAAAAATCAAGAATACATTCTGGAAAAAAGCAGACAATCTTTTGGCCTTTTATTTATTTAATCCTTGCTTCTCAATTCACATGTAATTGTTTTTCTGATCCTGATATTGTGTGTGTTCGTGCACACATGTGTACACATGTGTGTGGAAACCAGAGGTCAGCTTCAGATATCATTCGTCAAGATCGGCCCCCGTTGGTGTTTTGGCAGCTTTGCCATTGTGATTTTGTGTACATAAGAGTGCACTGTGGTGTGCTTGGCAGATGTGCACCTGCGCATGTGCACTGATTGATGCAAGAAAAAAAAATCCAATCAGGTCTGGTAAAGCGTAACTATAATCCCAGAACTCCAGAGGTGGAGGGAGGAGAATCAGTAGTTCAAGGCTAGCCTAAGCTACCTTGTGAGTTTGAGGCCAACCTAGTCTACATGAGACCAAACAGGGCTAGAGATATGTCTCGGTGAAGGTGCTTGCTGTGCTTACTTGAGGACCAGCGTTTAGTCTCTCAGAACTCAAAGGGAGAAACAATGAAAAATTATGTGCAGCAGCAGTAAGTAAATATGTAGCCGCGGCTGTTCGAGAACTAACTGTATAGACCAGGCTGGCTTCAAGCTTAGAGCAACGTTCCCGCCTCAGCCTCCCCAGGGCTGGGATCGCAAGGGCGTCACCGTGCGTGCCACCGTGCCTGGCTACCCTCCACATTAATTTAAACTGTTTCTTCCTGACCCTTTCCATCTGCTTAGTCCAATATCGTCATAATTGGAAAATCTCAGAAATATAAGATATTTGTTATTTATTTTTGAGAAAGGTTCTCACTGTGTGGCCCTGGCTTGCCTGGAACTCACTATGCAGACCAGGCTGACCTTAAACTCACAGAGATTGTCCTGCATCTGCCCTGCTGGGATTAAAGGTGTGGACCATCACGTGCAGTACCGGCACTTCTGAACATTTTTTTTTTTAAGTAGAATATACAAATTCACACAGCTAACTAGAGGCCAAAGAAAAACACAGAATGCTTTGCAAACACTCCTTCCTTCGGTCCAGCCTTTGAAGCATAGATACACCCTCTCTGTTCTCCCCAAATACCCATTCTGCCCACCTTGCTTTCAGTGTTCTTTCTATATATCCTTAAGTTCCTGGATATTTTCCAGTTGCTTTGCAGGTGTTTCCCCACAGCCAATGAGCAGAATTCCTCAATAGAACATTCAAGGAAGGAACTGAGCCCGTCATTTTGTACTTGGTATTAGGTCTATAGTCATCAGATGGAGTTTTCCCTGGAACTTCCATCCAGAAAGATGCTTCATCCACTGGGTGCAATTCACCCTTTCATCTCACCTCTACCTGTATCCTGACGACTACATTACCTGGCTATGTTTGGATCCCACCCCCTGAATACCCTAAACCCAGGTTCATAATCAAGGCCCAGTAGCTTGCCAAACGCCTCAACCTCAGCTGAGAAACTAGAGAAGGAAAATGCTGGTCATGGAAAAAACTGTGGCTTCTGCCACTTTAACCTCCAGATTAGAGGACATTTCTAACCCTTTTTATTTTTGTTGAAAGACCCTGCCTGCCTGGATAGGCTTGACTTGATCCAAGATGTATTTTGTGTTCTTGTTTTTTTTTTTTTTTAAGACAAGATCTCAGGTAACCTGGGCTGACCTTGAACTCGCTATCAATCGAAGGATGACCTTGAACTTCTGATCTTCCTGTCTCTACAGTCTGGGTACTGGGGCAACAGGCACGTGACACCACACTTGTCTGATTCAGTGCTGGAGGTGGAGCCAGGACTCCAAGGTTGATGACATCTCTATGAGACCGAGCATAGCCCTTGTCAGGACCTCCACGGACCCTCTCCTTTGGGTTCCACCGTCATTCAACTTGACTTTCTTGGGGAGGGGGGTCATTTATGGAAGACAGCCTCAAATTTATTCATTTATTCATTATCTCTCCATAGAGAATGGGCTCCACAAAGTCAGTTCATGCATTAGGGTTAGATCCTGGTCCCACTCCCAGTGCCTCTACATACTGCTCAAGCCACACCATTGTCATCAGCATTCAGGGGGCCTAGTTCCATCCTGTGTAGGTTCCCCAGTTGTCATTTCACAGTCAGTGAGCTCCCTCTAGCTCCAGTCAGCTAATTTTGTGGATTCCCCCATCATGGTCTTGACCCCTTTGTTCATATTATTGCTACTCCCTCTTTTTCATTGTACTCTGAGAGCTCAGCTTCAGGCTGAAGCAGGAAGATGGAAAATTTGGGGGCAGCTTGAATTATTTAGTTCAAGGCTAGCCTGTGCTGTATAGCAAGGCCCTATCTCAACAAACAAAATCAGAGTGTCAGTGGTATTGGGCTGTGCCGATGAGACAAAGGAGGCAAAGAGGTTAACAGAAGAGATGTTATCCCTGCCATCTGATGCAGAAATGGTATACAATAGCCTCCCTACTCTTCCAGAGCGCTGTGTTTATCTGGGGAGTACTGGCTAGCCACCTGTGATAGCAAGCAAACTGTCTTAGGAAGAGACTGTGTGAAGAGATGCTGTAAAGAGACACCATGACCACATCAGCTATTATAAAGGAAAAACATTTAATTGCTGTGGCTTATCTTTTCAGAGGTTTAGTCCTTTATCATCATGGCAGGAAGCAAGGCAGCAGGCAAAAGACATGGTGCTGGAGAAGGAGCTGAGAGTTCTACATCTTTCTCACAGGCCACAGGAAGTGGTCTGAGTATATTGAGCATACATGAGACCTCAAAGCCTATCTCCACAGGGAAACACTTCCTCCAACAAAACCACACTACCTCCAACAAGGCCACACCTCCTAATAGTGCCACTCCCTTTAGGGGCCATTTTCTTTCAAACCACCACACAACAGAGTCTAATACAGAGTCTGTGCCTGTTCTAGGCCCCAATCTTCTCCAGCATGCCCTGTCTGAGGCCAAGGGGACAGACTCAGGGAAAGTTATATGCCTTTTTCATGAGAAGGGTAAGTTTTAAATATGTCAGAAGCTGAGCAAGGTGCTTTGGGCCTATAATCCCAGCATTTGAGAAGCTGAGGCAGGAGGATGGATGCAAGTCCAAGTCTTTTGCGGGTTCCATAGTGAATTCCAGACCATCCTGAGCTACACTGTGAAACCCTGTCTCAGAAAGAAATCAGGTGCTGTGAGGGCAAGGGTACTAGCCACCAAGACTGATTGATGGCCTGACTTCTCTCCCTAGAGTGCACATGGCGGGTGGTGGGGGTTAAGAGCACTGGCTGCTCTTCCAGAGGTCCTGGCTTCAGTTCCCAGCAAGCAACCACATGGTGGCTCACAACCATCTGTAATGAGGTCTGGTGCCCTTTTCTGGAGGGCAGGCATAATGCAAGCAGAATACTGTATACATAATAAATAGATAGATAAACAAATCTTTTAAAAAAGGGGGGGATCCACATGGTGGGGAGGAGGGGACCAACTCCTGCATTATTCTCTGACCCCTACATTCATGCCCCAGCATGTGCACATGTGAAAACTCGTGCAAGCTCACACAAGCTATTAAATAATTGTTTAAATAAATTAAAATGAATTCTAAACATTTTAAGTATTACAATCTCACAAGGAACATTATAGTCAGGAGTCAGACACATTGACTATCACAGATTGGATGGTTGAACAACATCAAAATTTCATTCTGTAGTTCCGGAGGCCAAATTAATACAGAAGTAGATTTGATGTCTGATGATGGGAGCTGCTTCCTGACTCATCTCTGGCTGCTTGGCTGCAGCTTCACATGGCGGAAGGGCCAACAGATCTCTCTTGGGGTCTCCTTTACGCCAGCTTCAGGCTAGCATTCTCCTGTAGAGGCGTCTGAGTCTTCCCGTCACCCGGTCACAAGGATGTGCTTCATTCCCAGGTCTCACATCACTACCAGGGCACACAAAACACCTGACTGCTAGGAACCCAAAGTCTACTTGTGGTGGTGGACTCTAATTAAGAGCAGGGTTCTGAGTTTATAACGAGGTGGCCAGCCCCCACCGTAAAAGGCCCTGGGTGCCGCCAAAATCAGATGCATCTTGTAAACCCAATTGTTAGAAACATTACAGGCGGCTGGCACCTCCCTTTCCAAACTGCTCCTGATCCCAGGTTAAAGAGCACAGGGTATCCTTAGTTAAGGCATTTCAGAGTTCTAGGGAGCTCTGCAGATAAGGATGTGGTCAGTCCAGACCAACTCCTATGAACCAGCATGGCAGACATGGTTGGCAGCCTCGGCAATCTTCCCCAGTCAATCTGCAAGCTGTTACGGGCTATTTGATCATGTTGTGAAACTCTGAGACTGTGTTAATGAAATTAACCTTGGATCAGGGGCAGAGCCAGCAACTAATTGGCAGGAATTGGCCATAGAGATGACAGAGGAGCCTGGAATTTGGATAGAGAGATGCACAGGAAGGAGTAGGGAGGGACTTAGAGATTTGTGGTTTGGGACAAGTTCAGCCAAAACGAAAGGTCAGCTGGTTGTTTCTTGGCCTCCCTGATATAGCAGGTTTTCACCCCAACAGCGGGCTCCCAAGTCTTTATTTGTACAATAAATATTTATTTGAACAATAGGGACTTAGTTAAAACCTTTATTTGGTGGCCACAGCCACGCCGGTGCCGTTGGCTGGTGGGAGCGGAAATCCCACCAGGCCTCAGTGTGAGCAGGCCGGGGTGCTAACTGTGGGGCCATGGGCTCATGCGTTAGTTAAAATATCAGCAGATTCAGGTGCAGCCGCTAAGCCAACAGGAAAACAACAGCAAGCCTTGCAGCCACAAGACAGAGATG